GAGTACTGGAGTGGGGTGCCATTGCCTTCTCCTATTGTATTCAGAAGCCAGGAATATAAAATGGAAAGCTAAAAATATGTGAATTTCAATTATGAAAGCAACGGATCAGAATAATTTAAAAGAAGAAATTATTTTTGCTAGAAAATATTAAAAGACCAATGCATGAATCTTTTCAAAAAACACTAAAGTTTACTGATTGTTTTAGTTTCCCATGACTGCTTCAACAAATTACTACAAACTTGTGGCTTAAAAGGCTTCCCTAATGAAAGAATCCTCCTGCAATGCATGAGCCCCAGGCTTGATTTCTGGGTCAGGAAGATCTCCTGGAAAAGGGAATGGCTACCCACTCCAGTATTCCTGCCTGAAGAATTCCATGGACAGAGGAGCCTGGTGGGCTACAACTGTGGCTTAAAATAACACAAGTTTATTCTCTTACCTTTCTTGATCCTTGACAGGTGAGTCTGTTTCTTGGCCTATGTTAGCTTCTAGCAGCACCTGTATCCTCAGCCCACAGCCTCATCCTTCACCTTATAAGTGCATCCCCTGAATCTCTGCTTCCATTATCACATCACCTTTTCCTCTCTGTAATCAAATCAGCTTCTGCCTCCCTCTCCCACAAGGACATTTGTGACTGCATTTAGGACCCACCCAGCTTATCCAGGATTATTTCCCCGTCTCAAGATCCTTAACTAAATCACACCCACAAAGTTCCTGTTACCATGTAAATTACAGTTCCAAGGATTAGACAGGGATATCTTTGGGGTCATTATTCAGTCTATGACATCAGTTCAAAAAACATGTTTTAAAATCTCTATCTCCATCCTAGGAGATATACAAGTTAATGCTTTCTTGATCAGCTTTACTCAGCATATGCCATTATTTTCCTCTGGGAAGTTACAGCTTGGTCAGGCTGGCTTACCATCAATAGCTTTCAACTGAGGGTCTGTCCTAAGAGCATTTGTGCAGTCTCTGAGCCAAGTTAGAGACACTGGGAAACAAAATAAATGGTGCTGGGTCCTTTGAAAGGTAAGGATAATGTTACTATTCTTCACATTACTAGTCATACGGAGGGATGTGTTTTATCCAATCAATGGATAAATGATCTAGATTTCATACCAAAACACACTTCTGAAAATTATTCCTAACTAGTCATGAAATTTTTAAAACAATGTTGTCCTCTTTAAAAACTGCTAATTATTTCTTGAAGTCAGGCCTAGCAAAGCAGAAGTAACGTGGGCTTTGGAGTTATAGCTCTGGACTTAGTAATTACTAGGTTCTGTATGATCTTAGGTAGTCAAATGCTTAACATCTTAGATGCTCAGTTATTCATCTATAAGATGGTAATGGAAATACCCAAGAGGTTTATATGTGAGTTTTGCTATAATAGCTGGTATAGAATAGTTGCTCAACAAATATCAGTTACTTTCTACTTTTTATATTAAAAAACTAGTCTCTAAAATGTGCATAGTAAAATAAGATTGATTTACCATTGTTCAGTATTGTCTATAGAATGAATTCAGATATAACTTGTAAATATACTTTTTTGGGGGAGGGGGCAGCACCACATGCTGGGGGGTCTTAGTTCCCTAACCAAGGATCAAACTCACACCTCCTGCAGTGGAAGTGCAGAATCTTAACCACTGGATTGCCATGGAAGTTACCTCTAACTGGTAAATAAAGTAACATGAAAATAGTAATGCTCTCATTAAGCACTTGATAACAGATATTATAAATGTGAAATAAATAGTGTTGCCAAGTTTAGTAAAGTTAGACATTTGGTAAAGTTATCATTCTCCTATTTAAGAGGCTACTTACCTTTGTCTTTAAATAATCATTGAATTGGCAGTTCTCTGAACTGGCTTCCCTGATAGCTGAGTTGGTAAAGAATCCGCCTGCAGTGCAGGAGACCCTGTTTTGATTCCTGGGTTGGGAAGATCTGCTGGAGAAGGCATAGGCTACCCACTCCAGTATTCTTGGGCTTCCCTTGTTTCTCAGCTGGTAGAGAATCCAGCTGCAATGCAGGAGACCTGGGTTCAATCACTGGGTTGGGAAGATCCCTTGGAGAAGGGAAAGGCTACCCACTCCAGTATTCTGCCTGGAGAATTCCATGGGGTCAGAAAGAGTCAGACACGACTGAGCAACTTTCACTTTCACTTTCTGGCAATTCTCTCAATTTCGTGCACCTCTTTGCATTCATATTACATCAGTCTAAAATGTTTATGTTAAACATGCTGGCAAAAAATCTCGATAAGTAAGCATAATTTAGGTTCCAAAACAATAACTCTAAGAATTCCTTTGATGGTGATGGATGATACAGGTATTTTTCTAGATCACAGAAGGTAAGAAAATCTACACACTTAAGGGTAAAGTAAAAATTCTCTTCCCTTCCAAAAATATTTGAAGTTGTCCTCCTGAGAAAAGTCTACTTTATACATCATTCTTAAGGAAGTAAAGAAGCTGATAGAGCAACCATCCTCGTCAACACAACACAGATCTCAAATATGCAGCGATTGGTCACTGAGGTGCTCGGAAGCAGTCTAGAGTTTCTCAGATCTCCATAGGATATGTCATTAAATCTTGTCCTCCTGCTGGGTCTGACTTCTGGGGAAAAAAGCATATGGTATGAAAATTACTATATTTGGTAGTGAATACTAATGATTGCTCAGAAGGCTCATCCTTCAGTCTCCATGGCCTTTAGCATCTAGTTGGTTATAAATGTGACATGCTTTGATTTGATTTAATAATCTTTTTGAATTTATAGTTCAGAATTATATAAAGTTTATCTATAAAATCAGATACTCACATAAATGGAGAGACATATACATTTATTTCTGGTGTTATCCCATTAACAGACTGTAAAATTAAGGCAAGAGGACCAAGGTCTGTCCAAGGCAAAATTTACAAAGGTGCTCCTTCCCCTTTAATTACTAGGATATGGAAACAGATTTAACATAAACATACAGACACACACCAGACATATATGTGATGTAAGGGGACATTGTTTTCTACAGTGTGAGAATTGGAAGCTCAGTGATGTCATATGAACCGTATTTGATTCCTGTATTGCCAATATCTTAATTACTATATGGAACGGCAAAACAAAGTATTTTGAAACATGCAGAAATTATTCTATGATCTATATAAAAACAACAGCATTTTGTGTGTTATGATAAATTTGCAAGTTGAATTTCTTACATGTTATATTACATTACACGGGGCATGTTCTTTAATATTCAAAACCCAGAATGGTTAATAAAAAGAACTCCAAGGAAAGAATTAAGAGAAATTTGGTTAAAGATGTAATTTTACTTCATAGAAATAGCTTTCTAAAGATTTATATAAAGCTTATTATATTGGCCCAGTACTATGAGAATACACAGTATGACAGTAATAGTAGTGTGTTATCTCAGATGGTGTAAATCACTTGGTTGATTTGGCTAAGATGTAAATAGTACACCAATTTTATTTACCAAGGCCAATTAATAAGTTCTTAAAAATTGGGTATATTTGAATAAAATGTCACTGTAAAGTTCAGACAATATAGATTCCATAATACATACTGTTATTTTCTAATGTATCTCTAATGAAACTCCATAATGAAACATAATATAAAATATGGATTTTTGTATCAAAACTCTTTGCCAGAAAGTATAGCTCACATCAGAAGTTAATATCACTGGGGAGTTAAATGATTAAAACAAAAACAAATAACGTATTACAAACAGCCTTTTGTTCCTCACTCACTACGATGCAGACTGCGAGGATTTGACCTTTAAGGGTTAAAGAGTTTGATCAATGTCAATGTCTGATCTTCTGTCTAGCGATACCCAACAGAACATCACTTTGTCAAGCCACAAAGCACCCAAAAGCTTGTCAAGTAAGTTCCCAGGAACCTCTTTGTGGTTGGAACTCAGCTCCTTCTTGCTTGACCTATTATTTGATATTTGACCACTTGGTTGCAAGACACTTGCTCTTTCTAGCTGAAATGTCACTGGGGCATCTTGTCAGCTCCCCGACATCTCGGCCTGACATACAATTTTACTTTTGTGTGCTACAAGGCAGAAAATGCAGGGCAATGGCCTTGTTTTAAATTCTGTCAGCATCAAAGATGGGCGTCACTCTTGGGTCCTACCACACAAACAAAAAAGGAGTCTATTTTGAAGGTCAAAACAGCCATTACCTTGAAGTTTTTCAGCTTATACTAAATATGTTACCTGCTGTACTGGTGTGGGAACTGTCCTTAAAAAGTGCCTAAACGCACCACAGACATCCTCCCAGCACACATGCTCGACTTTCTTATCAAAAGCAGGCTTGCTAAAAAGGATGCGTTTTCAATGCCTGCAGGGACCAGATGCAGCAGTTAACTTAACTTGTTCAAATGGGCAAGTGGTATCATGTAGCTTTACAAGGAGCAACCTGACCTTCTCACATTGACCAGGAGTGACATTATTGTGCAGAAGGAGAAGCAGTCACATCATTTCTGTTTTGCACAACCTGCTTAAAGTTTGCAACTAAATGCTTGTCTTCAGTTGAGCTGACAAGAGAGAAGAGGGGGCTCAGTGAACCATGGCAGGGCTGCCATGAAATGACAGGAATCATTGGCATACATTTCAAATAGCTCTCTCAATCCTATTAAAGTATTGCAGTCCTGCTTTAAAATAGACAAGTATGAAACAACTTTGATAGATAGAGACTAAAATGGCTTATTGATTTTTTTAAGTCTGAAGGAAATTACCTAAAATGTGTCATTCTTTAACATTTAAAAATATGTTACATAAAAATGAGCAACTGTGATAATAAATAAAACTTGGAGGGGGAAGAAAGTTGGTTATTTCATTATTCGAGGAGACATAGATACCTGAACACATCAAGATATCACACAATTTTTAAAAACCCACGGCCACTTGAGCTGAAACAAAATTCAACTGATAAGAAAATCCCCCATCAAAACAATTTAATTGTACTGTTAACTCTTCCTGCATGCTTTTTATTTCATAAAGTCATAATCCAATCTGAGCTGGTCGCTTGGCAGTAGCAGACATCGTCACTGGAGACGAGTGAGATGATGCCAGGGGCGCAGGATTTATAAGTGTTTCCTTTAAGAAAGTGTACGTTGTGTCAAGTTCAGCTTTCAATGGCAAAAAATCCCCAACATCAATTGCGTCAGCAGGAAGAGCAGCTCTTGAAGGAATGGAGAGATTTGAATGGTCTCGTGATCCTGTCTATGTTACAAAAAGAAGAGAACAATAAACACAGAATTGAAAACTCAAACGGAGTCTAAACCCATAAACAGAGAAGTGGACTAAGAATCATAATATGAAATGGGGTGGAAATAGCAATTTAAATAATCTATATGATAATACATAAATATTAAATTATTTTTCAAGTTGTGATTGAACCTCATTTGTTCTACATCATAAACTTGCCAGGACATCAGGAATTGGGCTAAACCACTAAAACTTTGTATAAAACTTTTATCAAGTTATTGAATCAAAAAGTCAGTACAATCAGGCATTTTTGCCTCTTATTCCATCCACTGGCAAATTACAGAAACCAATTCTAATAATAATGTTTATTTTATTATGCTATATGTGTGTGTGTGCTCAGTCGTTCAGTCGTATCTGACTCTCTGCGACCCTCTAGACTGTAGCCCACCAGGCTCCTCTGTCCATGGGATTTTCCAGGCAAGAATACTAAAGTGGGTTGCTATTTCTTCCTCCAGGGGATCTTCCTGATCCAGGAATCGAACCTGCTTCTCCTGCATTGGCAGGCAGATTCTTTACCACTAAGTCACCTGGGAAGCCCTCTATATGCTACATAATTGGGAGATTAGACTGCTTAGAAAATGAGCTATGAATATTTATGTTTTTAAGTTATCAGCCTGACTTATATACTTGAACAATACAGCACAAAGAAAAACAAGTCAATCCTTGTACCCTATGGAAAATAGCATACCAACATATAAAATGCCAATGAAATGAACTATTTGTCTTTAATAATACTGCCACCACCCTGTTTTATTGATGACTGTTCTATTATAAGCATTTGTAAATCATATATCAAGATATGGGAATGCAACATGAAAACAGTTTGTCACATATTTTAAAACATTACTGCTACCCAGAAACTGTTGGAAATCAAACTTAAGAAACCCACACACTCATGAAATACTTAAAAACATAATTAATATTTTGTTGAAGCTATACATTTAAGTCTTAAGTAACAGCAGTAAACAGTAGTTAACCCTTAACATAAATGAAGTCTTACCAGTAAAGTAGATAGGTGTTGATGGCATTTATAGATAGAAGAAAAATAGTAATCAATTGTATGTCAGAATTTTCCAGATTCCCAGTAAATAAATGTTGCTGAGATAATAAGTCTAGTCCTAAGTGTCTCTATTAAAAGATACATTTATATTGCAGAGGTTTTAATAACAAGACATCTTTTTGGTAGATTCTCTTAAGGTTTTGACAACAAAATAGCGTGAACGCTAAGGATCTGCTTTATTATGTCATGTTATACAAAACCGTTTCTACATGTGAAACTGTGAAGGAAGCAATCTCTGGCTTCAGAAACATATTAGAAATTCAACTGTTGTATGCATTACCATTTTTGTGGATTTTTTTTAAAACTACAACTGGAGAAAAATCAATGGCTGCATCTAACACCTAGTTCAGCAATTTTCTTTGATCTCCGTTCTTTTGATTTCTTGATTCTCCACTGCAAGCCTACAGCTGACGGAAATCATCTCTTTTTCTGCTGGAAGTTAAAAAGAAAAAAAAAAAAAAACACCTAAAATGGCCACTCAAATGGCTTTATGAAGGAGAGGATTTAGCTTATCCTTGTTGAAAGAAAAGAACTCCCAAGGTCATATGTTGACCCTGCTTAGAAGCGCTGATGAGATTTCACTTGCACAACCTTAATGGGTGACCAGATCAGTTCAGAACCAGAATAGAGGCATCTCATTACATCAGAGGCTGGAGGTATAGATTCCTGCACTTTTCCTGCTGCTAGAACCATCTTTGGTGATTTTTTTTTTAGCCCTGTGCCTGAATTGGCAGCATTATTACTTGATCGATTTTGCTGCTGTAAAGACTACAATGCCATCTGCTAACTGATTCTGCCAGACCTGGAGGTAAGAGGGACAATGGAAGAACAGGAGATGGTGGGGCTGATTCTCTTCATAATAAAACTCAGAGCAATCGTACTATTTATTATGATAAAAGAGTATTGGTAGGCAAGCCTTCACAAGTTTGTTGTTACATCTTTATACTTCAAGTTCTGGTTTAAGAAAACTGTATATGTGCAGAATCAGACCAAGGAAGCTCAGCTACTCTCTGAGAAAATCTCCTCCTTGATGCTTTAGACTAGAGAAAGGTAACTGTGCCAAACTGACCAACCACTCCTGTTAGATATATCTTACTCAAATCCATTCTGTACTTGAAATTTCCTTTTCTGTTCTTATGAGTCCGTCGACCTAACACATTACACACGAGGAAGGTTATCCTTTAGGAAAGGTCTTTAACTGCTTACTTCCCTTTAATACATTCAGCGGATCTTAAACTCTACAAAGGGGCGCCTCTTCTTTTTCTCATCTTGCTTTTTCATATGTCTATTTTCCATCATGTTGCCTGAAAGCATTTTTTATTTCTAATATAAATTTTTTGGCCAAATAACCTTGAAATGGGGTATTGAGTATGTCTTTGGTATTTCAAACCAGGTACACTTTTTGTGTACCTGAGATTCTGATTTGAAACACTAAAGAAATAATACATTCTAAACATGGGAAACAACATTAAAAAGAAGAGATTTCTGTATCATACAGCTAATTCCCACTGGCTATCTATCTTACACATGGTAATGCTTACATTTCAAGACTACTCTCTCCATTTGCCTCACCCTCTCCTTCCCCCGCTGTATCCACAAGTCCTCTAGGTCTGCATCTCTATCTGGTGCTCTGTAACAACCTAGAGGGGTGGGGCGGGCTGAGAGTTGGAGGAGGTTCAAGATGGAGGGGACATATATATATATTTATGGCTGATTCATGCTGTGGTATGGCAAAAACCAACACAATACTGTAAAGCAATTATCCTCCAATTAAGATTTTTTTAAATGGGAAAAAAAAGAAGAGATTTCTTTGAAGATTTGCACCCCTCAAAAGACAAACCCTCCATCAAGTAAACAGACTTACTTTTGTGTAAATGAAAATAATTGTTTTTTTCTGTTACTGAGGTCATTTGCTATACTACATGCACCGCTAGAAAATAATCTTTTCCATGAAATACAATAAAATTTGATTTTAAGTCACTTAATAGCTTAAAAACAAACCAGCAAAAATTCTGGTGAGATCTTGATTTGAAAATATGATGTTAAAATAACACGTAAATATGTTGTAAATAATATTCAGAAATATATCATAACACTTTTAATATAACACAGAGAGTAAGAGACAGTTAAGTAACTTTTTATCAGAGACCATTAAAAGTTAATATTTACTATCTGATATTATATTTTAAATCTGTGGTCATTTAAGCTACGTTTTAAACTGCTGAGGTGTTCTCATAGTCTCTCATGTAAATCAAAATTTATGCAATTAAAAAAAAATTAGTTACCTGAAATAAAAGCTAGGTGTCATGTGAATCTTTATGGAGGCACTTTTATTTACTTAATAAGCTGTAAATGATTCTATTTGAGCTGTTATAGTCCATCAGTTAAATATATATTCACAATACAAAATGTGTCTACTAAATTTCTGTATTTAAAAAATCTTGTGAAATATAGTAATTAGACATGTCCATTAACCATTTTTCAAGACTTCAATATCTCCATTTCTAAGGGTGTTTTTTAACAACAAAAATAAATACAGCACTAGTGTAATAATAAGATAATGACTAAACTGTCTATATATCAAAGTCACTTTGCAGACCAAGGCTTCTGAAACAATGACTGTCTCTAAGCCATCTGTCTCCTGTGTAGCATTTATGATAAAGTTAAGTCTTCCAGAATCTAGTAGTATAAAAAATGAGGAGTGATGTAATTTAGTAAGCAAGGAGATTATGCCAGGCAAATAGTAAGGTGAAAGGAGTATTGGACTAGAGATCAGAAGACTATATTTTTCCCTCCCAGTTCTGTTACAATTCAGCTGTGTCATTTAGGTGAGTGAATTAGTACTCCAAGGTCTCACTTCCTTTGCCTAAAAAATGAAGAGCAGATGATACCACTCTAATGGCAGAAAGTGAAGAGGAACTAAAGAGCCTCTTGATGAGAGTAAAAGGGGAGAGAGCTGACTTAAAATGCAACATCCAAAAAACTAAGATCATGGCATCTGGTCCCATCACTTCATGGAAAATAGATGGGGGAAAAAGTGGAAACAGTGACAGATTTTATTTTCTTAGGCTCCAAAATCATTATGGATGGTGACTGCAGCCATGAAATTAAAAGACGCTTGCTCCTTGGAAGAAAAGCTATGACAAACCTAGACAAAGTATTAAAAAAGAGGGACATCACTTTGCTGACAAAAGTCCAGAGTAGTCATGTATGGATGTGAGAGTTGGACCATAAAGAAGGCCTAGCATCAAAGAATCGATGCTTTTGAACTGTGGTGCAGGAGAAGACTTTTAAGCGTTGCTTAGACTGCAAGGAGATCAAATCAGTCAATCTTAAAGGAAATCAACCCTGAATATTCACTGGAAGGACTGATGCTAAAGCTGAAGCTCCAATACTTTGGCCACCTGGTGCGAAGAGCTGACTCACTGGAAGAAATCCAAATGCTGGGAAAGACTGAGGACAGGAGAAGGGGGCAAGAGAGGATGAGATGGTTGGATGGCATCACTCACTCAATGGACATGAGTCTGAGCCTGCTCCAGGAGACAGTGAAGGACAGGGAAGCCAGGAGTGCTTCAATTCATGGTGTTGCAAAGAGTTGGCTATGACTTAGTAACTGAACAACAGGACTCTTTCTAGCTCTGAAGTTCTACAAGTCCACCATGATTCCAACCCATGACGATGTATGGCATAAGGTTAACACCTAACTTTTGTGAATACCATTTACCCAGAAATCAGAGTTCCTAAACATAATTCTTCAGATTTTGAGAGGATAAAGAATGAGCTATTCTTAAGGGGAAGGAATACATACTGCAGATGATTCTTTAAAAAAGCCAAATAGATAATAAAATTAGCCATAGTTTAGATGATGTGGCTACATTCAATTAAATTCTGTGAT